TATTTTTCCATAGTGACAAGAAAGATCTGTAATAGTTATGATTGCGTTTATTGAACTGTGCTTTAACAGTTTTCAATAAAGCGATATAATTTTATAACATTAAAGAGCATTTCAGTTCTATAACTTAGATCTTAGGACATTTGTTGGACTGTATTAAAAAGTCCTAAATTTCAGAAATCTGAAGTAAAGCACTCTTTTCACGTTCAATCACTGGACTAATATTATTTACTATTTTAACAGTCATTCTCATACCTTAGAAAAATAACGACCATATATTATTAATTACAAATAAAAAATCTTGCGTTTAAGGGTTAAACTATGGCAACTTTTTTGTCATCATAACACATACATTGTAGGGATAACTTCTTATTCGGTGATATAAATTTAAATAAAACATGATAATTATGAGGGAGCGTTGTAATATAATATATTTTACGTTGACGTAGAATGGTGAATGAATAAAACATGTCTGTGGGATTTTTTCTAACAAAATTAAATGAGACAAGCAAAATATGATGAAAATCACTAGCACTATGAACATGTTTTGGTTACTTTTTTAGTAACTTTACATAACGAAATGGTGACACAAAGGTTATATAATGTAATGTTTTTAGAATGAATCAGTGATAAAACTAGGGCCTATCTGGGGTTTTCTGAAAGCTTACAACATTAATAAAATGCTAATCGTGAATACTAATTAGCACGCGTTAAAACTTTCTTGAAGCTCCTATTGTACTGCATTTTGCTGTTTAAGTTACAATACACATTTTTCGATCCTTTGATTATTAAAAGCTACTTTAATCGGAAGCGGACCAACGTACGGGAATTTAATATCCTGGACACGCACAAACCTAATATCCGGTGGATTATGTAACGTTACAGCTGCAGTTATTGCGTGGCACAATTTAAGATATATCTTATATTATATTTGATTCTTTATATGTAATTTGAAAGCTGTTAATAATACCCAAGATGGAATTTCAAGACGAGACGGTAAGGGCAGGTACCTTAGCCATTATGTTTACACTAACGCTTTTGTCGCGACTATGCCCGGGTTAATTATAGCCTATGTCACCCACGTATGATATAGTTTCCTTGAGATTAAAGATTTTTATGATCGGATCAATATTTCTGAAGATGACCTATACCAACAAAAACAAGTTAGAATCTTTCCCCCAAAACAGTACAGTTAGCAAAACAGCTAAGATACAAAAGAGATGTTACTGTCTATCGATTACGGAATTACGGTATAAGATAAGAGTACCGCAAATGACAATCAGACTGAAATATTTTTCGTTGCCAATCGTAAAAAAAAATTTAAAGTCAGATAAAATTTGTATATAGAAAGTTACGGTGAACGCGTATGCTTAATATTCAACAACATAAGCACGAAAAGTGTAATTAAGCGTATAAGTAAGCGTGTATTTTAAAACGAAAACAATAAAAGATATAAAGTCTTTAAAAGTAGTATAAGTAAACTTTAATTTTTTTTTATGTGCATCACTTTCTTCCCCTGAACCGCATGATCTAGTGCCACTCATAACTTGCTTAGCGGACTGTTCACTGTCAGACGAAAGGGCTGTTATGTACATGAGCCTGTTCCCTTTTCCTCTCCAGGGGGTCCAAACGTCGGGGGCTGGGTGTGGAGCAGTCACTGCTGGATCCCACGTCCATTCCTCCAAAAGTGAGGGTGCACCGGAGGGGTTTATAGGGTTATGCCATCCACGTTTTGACTACCTTTCGGGCGGGTCAGTGTGAATGGAGAGTCCCAAACAACCCCTGTTGATTGTCAAGCGGCAAGGAGAGTGCATAAAGCATTCCCCCCTACCACCAAAAAGGACCAGTCTGGTGTTAGGCCTCCTGATAGACTGATACACGGTTTTGCAATGGATTGGTAAAATAGACGGTGTTTGTGAAAAATTAAAATAACCCGCTTGTTTTCCGAAAAATAAAGAAAAATATCTTATCATCTGCCGCATGAACCCCAACTAATTTCAATTATCAACACGTACCAGCCTAGAAATCACTTTAGACTTAAATTACCTCTTATTATATTTCAACAGCAAAGCATTTAAATTATCAAATTTAAGAAATTATAGAAAAAAAAAATTATGTGATGTAAATTTGAAAATAAACGTTAATAAGACAAATGAATTGGCTCATGAATATAAAAATGATATTGTAACGTTAAAACGGTCGCTTTATTTCGACAGTGATGAACGGAACAAAGCGAGCAAAAGACATTTTTATGAATTCTTAATACAACAATTTGTCGTAATATTTGTAATCGTCCAGAAAATTAATGTTTCGTTCGTGAAATTGGAGGGAAAAATTCATAGTAATCACATACTAACAGACAGTTCAAATTGCTATAACGATAAATAATACGAACATTAAAGTGAAATGTTCAAATAGACATCAGAGCCTGTCTACATTGCTATATTACATTCCGGATTTTTATTTTGGGAATTCTTTAACACCTTGAAAAATACCCGGTTTTGGCCATTTGGCACTTCAAGGTAGATCGTCTTAACTAACGCATATGCAAATATAATATTTTTACTGTGAATGGTTTTTTTTATGTTGCATTATGGCAAAACTAATACTGTTTAGTAGCTGTAATGGTCAAAACCAAATCATAATCATAAAGCGGCCAAAACCTACAAGAAAAACCATTTGCCCTACATGAGCTAGTGATAAAAATGTGCAAGAATTATCGTATCAAAGAGGAAGTATTAAGGTACATCACACAATACGGAGCTCAGGTTGTGGAATAAGTGGTGGTGGTTGAAATATCGCGATGCGAGCAATACCTAATAGATATAACATGATAATAGAATGGGGCGCAACAGCAAATTGTCAGTCGATAACAAATTACTTATCTACAAAGTTATTCTTAGACCACAATGGACCTATGGCATACAACTCTGGGGTACTGCCAGCAAATTTAACACCCAATGCCATCAAAGAGCCCAAAATATGATCCTCCGAACCATTAGTGATGTGCCATGGTATATAACTAATAACGAAATCCATGCAAATCTGGAAATAACAATAGTGAAGAAAGAAATAGATATAGCTACTCAAAGATATAGAGTCAGACTGACAACACACTCGAATAAACTAGCGAAACCGCTAATAACTCGGAGTTACAAGAAGCGACTTAAAAGGAAGGATGTCCTATAGAGAGACATAAAAAAGGAGGAGATGTTCTTGCTGAAGAACACACTTCACAACCCACTAAACCTGCAACACATTTGCTTATAGTGATTATCACTGATCGTAAATTATAACTCGAAAAAAAAAACATGATAATACATGACGCTGTCTGAAAATGAAATATTCCTCGTTTAGGAAGAGTCGGATGCTTCTCTTATTCGTTACAACGTAACTAAATTGATTCCAAAAATAAAATTGTTCTTAAATAACTACTGTATGGTTAACTTTTAGGTTTAAATTCCACCTGTTCCCAATATAAACCTTCGTTCAACAATAAAAATAGATCACTGACCACCAAAATAAAGTTGACCTTTTTGTACAATTCAGACCGTATAGGTAGACAATTATTAAAAATAAGTATCCTGTCACTTATGTGGCATCAGAATAGTTTTAATCTAGTAATTTAGAGAATAAAAACATAAGAGAGATATTATCCTAGAATGTCATTATACTTTTGAACTAATGTAATCAGTACAGCAACTGTAAAATAACTACTATAAATAACTATTTGTGCTTTAAATATGTAAATACTAGTAACTCAATATAAAAAATGTCGAATCGAATACTTTGATTATAATAATCAAATTTCAAACGGTTACTCAAACTGAGGGCAGATTCCGTTCTGCTAAGGTATTCATACCGGGTACTACCACTTGTACTGATTGCATTATCCATGAAGGTGATACTATTAAAAATATTGAAAATTTATCTAAAATGCACTGATATATCGACTATGCCGCCTTTTCATCATAAAGCTATGTATTACGAAAGATCTTGTATTAAGGAGAAGTGGTAATAAACAAGGGTAAACAATTAAAAAACGGTTACTATTTTCTTATTTTATTTTATAGAAAGAAGTCAAATTAAATAAATGTAGAGGCGACATTTTACGTTCAAAATGCCGACTCTACGTTTTAATAACATGGACCGTTGTATTTTTGTCTGCATAACTCAATGTTAGATTGAATAAATTGAGATTGTTGTTACTTATATAACTGTTTCGCATAGTACTGTTACAAAGTTACCTTTTTATTATTCAGTGGTATTTGTACAATTCGAAAAATTGAAACTAAATATTCAATTTCATTCAAGAGATGAAACAGACGAAAGGAAAATAGATGATATTTCAATTTACCGCGGTTTCGCTATTTTTCTTGTCGGATTGATTTTTCACGAAATAACTTCGTCAAAAAGGGCTTCGAGAAGACGCATGTTTGACATCCAATATATTTTGATCGAGAATTTAATCAAAGCTCTTGTGTAAAAAGCTGAAGTATCAACAGTAGCAAGTTATATCAGTAACAAAACTCGATTTCGAACATAATTAAGAATCAAACTTTGTGAAGTTTGATATCTAATTAAACGAATGTCTTGACCGAAAATGATTAGGGTTTACTTGTAGCAGGACACGAGATGCTGCCATCCTTACCATAGTTCAAAAGTCATTTTAATAAATTTTATTTAAGTAAAAAAAAAACTTTATTGACTTCCCCCTTTTCACGCTCCCGTACAAGCCCTGCCTTTCACCTGTATCCTAAATGTAGTATCCCAAATGTACATTTTATGTATCAAACATAAACTTAAACAGTAATAAATTAAAACTATAAACTAGAGGTTTCACAGTATTATTCGTAATATATGATGTCTTAAGATTGTTTTCTTGTGAAATAAAAACGAAGTATAATTTCAGAATAATTACAAGAAAGAATTTATACAATGGACAATATCAGCAGCAGATATCAACTATAGAAAATGTAATAAAAGTTTTATTCCAAACTTACCTCTTATCGAAGTCGTGAAGATCCTCCGACGTGAATTGACTCGTTACGTCTAAGAGTTGCTGTATGTGGTCACTACAGACCCTGCTCTTTCTCCTGCCGTCCTCGTCTCGCACGAGTACAGTGGAACAACCACCGTAGTCGAGAGAAAGAGACGGCTGCTGGACCACGATGGTGGTCCTGCCCGCTGGTATAGTTGTGGCGGCCGAATCAAGGGGATTCGCTGTCACATGTACTTGTGCAGCTGTGAAAACAAGGTAAAAGGATTTATGAAGATAAAAAAGGAGAAGCTCTAGAACAATTGAATTGAAACTAGTATGATTTTTACTATAGAATAAGAAGGGAATGAGTGACTCTGTGGCAGACTTATTGGTATCCTTTTAATAATTTTGCCAAACCAATTTTTTTATTCGCCTAGACAAAATTATTGGTATTGTTCTAATAAAAGACAAAAGTAATCATTGTCTTTTCAAAATAAAATAGACTAAATACCTGTAGATTGTCGTCTAGATGATGGCGGTGGCACAGAATGCTGGTGCGCCGAAGATCGTCTCCTAGCAGCCGTCGTGAACACCTCAGTCCCTTCCAGCTGTCTTCTTAATTTGGCAACTTCATCCTTATAATACTCCTGTTTTTCGTTTCTCTGTTTATTCTTCATCCTTGGCTCACTACCACGTCTTTTCACTGGTTCCGGTTCAAATTTAAAATAGGTCTCGTACTTAGATTGATTCGCTTTTGGACTTTTTGGCATTTCCAATTTAGGATCATATGGAATTTGTATTGACGTAGATGGTGTGCTGCTCTGCACTTGCGTTTTGTTTCTTGGCTTTTCCGTCTTTTTAGGTTCAATTTTCTTTGGGTCCGGGAGAGGAACGTCAAAGATGAACCGAGCAGGTCCAGGTCTCGGGGAGTCTATCGCGTCTGATGCTGATTGGGGCTTGGTGTAAGCGGGTGAATCGAGTTCGCAGCTGTTTTGGGTGCGGTGGTAGTGTGGAGGGGCTGTACTCGGGGGTTTGTGTGGGGGTTCATCGATGAGGCTCGGTGGTTGAGGGGGCGGCTCGGGGGGTTCTGGTTCGGCGTCCATAGAATCATCGGTGCCTGTGATTGATGTGAGCGCGGTGGCTGCAGAGTCTGTACTGGTGTTGATTGTTTTATCAGAGGTTGTACTGCTGCCCATGACAACCACCTGGAAATAAAAGAAAATCTCATATAAGTTTATAAAATAAAAGATTCGTGTTTAGGCAGGTATGAAAATCGAGTAAGACTGACAAAAAATGGGTTAAGTAAATTAACATGGAATAATAGGTATTAATATAATATTCGTTATTAACACAACAAAGTTGTTTACTCAGGCAAAAATATTGAACATTAACTCAAAGAGGTAAATTTTATTCCCATTAAATAATATTTTAACAGCCTCGATTGTGTCCGAACCAACACAATTGCGTCATAACTGTGGACGGTGATGATGACATGAGATTAAAACAAACGCGCCTGAAATATCGAGCGGTCTACTAGGCAATGCACGAAATTAAAATTTTCGCGTAGTTCCGTGTCGAACATTCTGTTTCCATATGTAACCTTTAAAAAGTTAAAAAAATGTTTTAATAATATTGCCAAACGTAATACTGGGTCGAAACTCAAATTAATAAAATCCTACAAAAACAAATACCACCTTAAAATTCAACTGAATGAAAGTTCGTCAACTAAAAGATATACACCTCGTTTATGAATTGAGAATTTGAAGTTGTGTACGTCTCAAACCGTGCTTAAGCCATTATAAACGTCAATTAAATATGTTTTCATTGCTGATTTATAATTTTTTAATGATCAGTTGATAGCAATTTCAAAAAACTAGGACTTTTTGCCATATGAAACGTAAACAACTTAAGTTATTGAGAATAATCACTTGAGAGTTTTGTGCTTTTCTCAATTCAGAAACCGGCCAATAGAATAATAAAATGAGATCCATCGTCAAGCCCTATTTCGGTCACATAAATCACTTGCTAATCATGTATTGTCTATCTCGGGGGGGTCGGATGTATAATAATATGTACCACTGATTATCAATGATTGATATACTCAAAGTGGTATAATATACATACAATTGTAAATATTATGCTGAATTTATTTTTAAATTTGATCGATTAATTCCTTGGCCTTGAACATTATGAGAACATTTCAGGATTTCGAAATTACATTTCCGTATATGCAGGATAGGACCCCTGATGCCATTAACGGTGATTTTGTTACCGATAATCCAGTTTTCACGATAAAAACGGGTGGTGTTGCTGCTGGTGTGGAGTTTTGGATTTTTTGGGTAATACAATTTTGGATCTTTTCATAAATAATACAATTGCAAGTACTGTAGGAGTTAAATGTGCTAAGTACGACGGTGCATTAGATAGCTCATTCAGTATGAAATTGCGGAGATTAAACGAGTTTTATAAACGACGGTTATTAGACTTATGGAAAAAAATGTACTGCCTCGAGTTCCTGCATATATCACACGAAAAAAAATGATGTCTATATCGAACATCATTTTTCTTAAATTAATTTTAATTATAATATTTTTAAATTTAAAATAATTTTTATGTAATTCTGAATTTAATATAATTTAATTTTAAGGTGAATGAATTTTCCATTTAAAATAATCCTATAAAATCATTGTTAATAATTTTTGAATATGTACGTAACACATTTAAGGATAAGATTTTATGCAATTTAATTATTGTGATTGATGTTTGTTGTGGTATGCCTTAACAAATAAATAAATCGCCCCACTTTTCACAAAATGAAAAAAGTTCTGTGTAACCGTTACTTATGCATAAAGCTCAGAGTCAGAATACTTCATTGTTACGTGTGGCCAACGTTGTTGTACGGTAGTGAAGCTTGAACTCTAAAAGAAATACCCAGAGAAGTCTTGAAGCATTCGACATGTGGTGGTATCAGAGGATGTTATGCTGATGTTGGACAAAAAGTTACCAATTTACGAGTATTCCAACGCGTTGGGAAGACCTGAGAGTTAATGGAAACCATTAAGCAAAAGAAAGTGGGTAAACTTGGCCATGTTTTAAGGTATGACAGATACTAAATTATTCAGCTTAGAAGAAAAAAGCGTTGTTAGAAGAAAAAAGTCAATGTTGCAAAATATCCGAGAATGGACAAAAATAGTCAGCGTTGAAGAACTTTTTCGTTTGCCTCAAGAGAGAGATAAATTCGCTGACTGACGGCGAAACTCCAGTAAAAGAGAAGCTCACATGAAGAAGAACGCTAATAAAACATAGGCATATCATCTAAGAAAAGAATCAACATAAAAAATACTCCTCAATCGACTTTTATGACTGTAACGGCATGATAAGTAGCCGATGCTTACTATAATGGCTTCCTCTTGCTTCGATTAACGAAAAGGGTCGTATTTATTTTTTACTAGCGGTATTCGGGAACGCGTACATTGTACCTGTTTTTCTCTTGATGATATCTGCTTTTGCTAGTATTCGTGCGAATTTGAAGTATGCTACGTAAGTATTAGCGTATATATTACTATAACATCGTTTGCGCTACGAGTTATAAGATCAAGCGATTTCTTAAGCCTTTCATATGTTGTAAGAAAACAAAGTACTTGCATAAGTACATAGAAGCAAAATAATACATGTATATCATAATACAGACATATCCGCCGCATATTGATACATGTATCATTTTATGTATGTTGATCGATTTCTCGGCTAATAGTAGGCCAATTTACAAAATTATTTTTGAAAATTATCCTGGATCATCGGATATGCACTTTATAGTTATAACACAACTAGTTGTTTCCCCGCGAATTTGCCCACGTAAATTATAGCATTACACCCGTCTATGGTGTAGTTTTCCGTGAAAGAATAAAAAATAAATCCATAGGTTCCAAAGTTTTGGTGTCGATATATTCGTAATGCGTTTGCATTATCGAACAATAAATTTTTTCCTCGTTTGCAGATGATATAAATAAATAGATGGTATAGTTGTTATCGAAGAAAACAAAAGTGTATTTTCCTTTTTTAGCTAATCCACATTTTTATTTATCTCTAAAAATAATAATAAAATCTTTTTTCGGTATTAATTTTTACGAAAGTTTTAATATAAATAAATTATGCTGTACCATTTCTCAGTAAAATATAAAATGTTTTGTTTGTAGGTAGGTACCATCTCTCAAATTTTGTTAAAAAAAATTTAAACTGATCAGTAGGGCTGTACTAAAAACCGGTCAATTGCGAGTCAGACTCTCGCATGATGAGTTCCGTAATATTATCTATAAAAAAGCCGAAAACACGTTTGTTGTATATGGGATTAAGTATATATAATTATTTTTTTGTTTTTAGTATTTGTTGTCATAGCAGAAACAGAAATACATCATTTGTGATAATTTCAACTGTCTAACTAACACGTTCCATGAGATAAGATTATGTATACGCGATCTGCTTTATATTTGGAAACGCAATCCGTTGTTGAATTCTTTCGCTGATTCAAGTCTGCACTAAGTTTGATTCGCAAACCTAAGGTTGTGTTTTCCAAGTGTTACGCAATCTTGAATAAGGAAAAACTGTTTTATTGTTGATATGTATAATAAAAGATCCTGATGGTGCGTCTTTCAACTTGCTTTTGTTTTCAGTGTCCTATTTAAGTATAAACCCCGGTCCATATTCTTGCCTAATAGGAATATGTAGGGTTGCTAATACTATATAGCTAATAACTATTGAAAGAAATATAGTGCCGTATTAAAACCTTGTTTAATTTTTTTTGCCCGATACGTGAGAATAATTATATATGCCCGGGAAATTTGATAATTTCTGTAGGTAAAATTACATTGCCCTCTCATATTGGAATGTTTTATACAACACGGGCATTATTTTTAATACCCGATTAATCACTTTGTCCATTTCATACATAAAATCAAACTCGGATCAGTATCTGTTCTTAGACATGAATACTAAATTTCGCAAATCCAATTATGTGCGTACACTTATTTTCATACCTATTTATTAAGGCAAAGGAATGTAGCACATTCTTATTTTTAGATCGCTTTTTCTCGTTGGTTTCTGTTAAAGTCTCTTATCGTATTTTATTGAACCATGATTTTGTTTCGCTTATAAACCATAAAAGCTTTAAAGTATTCTTCGCACAAAATATAAGAAATCCACACCGATAACCAACAATATGATGCACTAAATAAAGTTTTTTTTACGATATTTACTTAACCAAACTTTTCGTTTCAGTGTTAAAGTTCTCATTGAGAATATAAAAAGAATCTAAAAGTTGCATAATGCTAAAGTATTTTATGTTGCTGTAAAGATAAAAACAAAAATATAAAGGTAATGGTGTAGATAATTCAGTGCTTGTCGTATTTTCTTTAAAATGTTCTATTGTTCTAAAATATTATTTTTGGGTTAAATAAAGTTTATAAGTAAAACTCGATACGTATACCTATTATATTTAAATATTGTTTTTATAATATTGTAGAGAACTAATAAAAACCATTACTCATAAGAAACAGTGAGCAAATCTTAAATACATATGCATTTCTTTAACCAAGTTAGTTTACTTAGTTTACTTTGAGAATCTGTAAATTTGGTTGGCTCAGGTATTCCTTTTTTAAGCACCAGCTGTGTATTTGATTGTAACCCTAAAATAACTAAGCCTAGTACCTCTATTCATGTATAAAAATGTAATCATGAAGCCAATAAACAATATATTTATGATTATTATATATTACTTATTTGATATTGTCAACGCTATAATTAAAAGATGCTTAACTGATTAAAACTTGAGTAACCAATGAGAGGAAAGCATTCAATTTACGCAAGAAAGCCTTTAGGAGGGGAGACTTAATAAAGTATAGAAGGCAAGAACATTTAGCCAGACAATTAGTAGGTTGAGAATTTTCGAGACGAAATAATTGAGCGAATATCCAGTGTTAGAGATAAGATATTTCATTTTCTTGACGATTGATCAAATATCTGCAGCGATTTATGGAAATATGTAAGTTTAAAGTCGCAATAGCTTACGGAATGAATAATCAAGGAACGTCATAAAAACTAAGTAGCTTTCAGTGATTTGCGTCTTTGCTTAGACAATTACAATTATCGTCAAATCAACAATAGCGTTCATTCAATGTCTTTCAAAGATAGTCACAATTTC